GTGCATCTTTCTTACACCACGCGCCACGCAACGCGGTAACAGCTTCGTCAAATTCCCACGAGCACTTTCGTCAACGGTGCACACGCTTATCAACGTGAAGGCGTGAAAGGAACCGGGAGTTAGCTCCAAAAGTACAACGCGCTTTTGCAGCATCAACTCGGCCTCACCATGATGACGACGGCGACGACCGCGAGAGCTCGAGAGCTCGTGGTGCCGAGGATTGCGTCGTGTTATATCCCGTTCGCAAATAAATATTTCGCGATTGTCGCGGGATATTTGCTCCGGCCGCGATGAGGCGAGCGGAGAGTGTATCGCGCTCTTTATAAGAGCGTAACGTCGAGTAACTTCGAATACGACGCGCAATAAACGGCGACGCGATAAAACCGGGGGCGAGGAGTTAACTCCGGTAAAAATGCGCTCGCGTTCTATTTCCTTTAGACCACGCTATTCTCTCCCTCCCCCCCTCTCTCTCTCTCTCTCTCTCTCTCTCTCTCTCTCTCTCTCTCTCTCACTGGCGTTTGCTCTCTTGACTTCCGCCGCCGCCGCCGTTGGCGTTTTCCGCGAGCAGTAGCGCACCGTCGGCGAAATCCCCGCCAGTAAAACTGTCGAAACTTAAGCGCCATCCGCGCGCAATACCGCTGCGGCCGTTTGACTTACGATCGCGACTCTATTGCATCCTGGAGCTTACCCGCGCGATTCCAGATCGCGGTAAACGCTTTGCAAAAATCGTGTCGCGGCACGTTCCCGTAATCCCGGCCGTATTTTTACATAGGCTGCTTTCGGCCTCGTCCGCGACGGATCTTGAGGAACTGCCAGGCCGTCGAAACGGACATTTTCTACCGAGTAAGATTTTACCCTCAAAGCCTTTCTCAAGGAGTGACGTCGGGCTCCGGATTGAATGAGTCGAGATGGCCCATTTGGCTTTGTTCTTCCACGCGCGAATGATTTTTTTTTTTTTCATGGAAGTAAAGATTAGCTTTTTTTGAGTCGAGTTCCAGAGAGATGCAAATTCGGAGATCGGAAAATAATTCGAGATTGAAAATCTCTTGCACTTCCGCGGACGCTTCAGGAAGGGCAAAAGTCGAAAGTGGGAAAATGTTCTCACCGACGACCTACACGATTCTCGAAAGTCCGTCGGAACGAAGCCGAGAAGCACCTCGTATATTGTAAAATTGATTTTTTCACTGCGATGTTCAGCGAACGCGTCGAAAGTGAAAGAAGGAAAAAGGAGCCGTAGCGCAACTGCAGATTGAAGTTTCGATTCATATCGAGTACACCCGAGGAAGAATTCCAACGCAATTTGAAAGAAGCTGCGGCATCTCTCTGTCCGGAGAGTCGAGAGGGAGGCGAAATAATACAAGCCGAGGGAAAGGGAGTGAATCCCCGTGTATTTGTATGAATCGCCTCTGCTGAAGCAGCGTATCTAAATAAGTAATAACGCGAATGCCGGTCGAGAATGTTCGGCCGCGGCTGAAGCCGCGGAAAATTAAACGAGAGCAAAAGAGACGCATTGTGCGCTCTTTCGTGGCGCGCAGCGAGCCGACATGCACCGCCATTTGTTCTTTCCCACTCGCGTCCTGAAGCTCTCGCACGACGAAGGGTCGAAAAATCGCCGGACCGATCGCGCACGATTTAAATAAAAAATAAACCGCCTCATCCGCTCGGCTCCATCGTCTTCTGGACATCGATACGCCGTACTCGCAACACTCGCAATGCGCATTGCAGTGACATCACAATATGTACGAGTTTCCGAATTTCCGCGCTTATTTATGTGCACCGTGCGAAACGCAACAAGGACTCACCCTTATTTTGCAGCAGAAATCTCCCGGAATTGGTGAATTCTTCATTCCTCAACTCGCCGTGAAAAACCGCCTCTTTTCCCATCACTTCCCGTCGGCACGGTGTCGGTGTGTTTTTTCACAATTTTGCAAATAATAAAGTGGAACACCGACACGACGCGCGAACAAAAGGCTGCCAGATATTCAATCGGCGAACGAAAGCAAGGAATGCTGTCGCATGAAGAACTGAACGCAGGAAGTTTCTTGCGTAAATAAAACTTGGAAAATCGGAAAACACGAGACTGAATTTAATTAATTAAGAAAATTAAGTTGAACCAAGTTAAATTAAACTCGAAACTAAATTGAAATTCATCCTGATGCGCGTTCCAGCGTATATAATTTTAAAATTAAATTGTAAGTTCATCCTTGACGTATAATATCGCGTACGACAATCATTTCGGTTTGGTAACTTGGATTCTTTAAAACACTTAACAATTAACAAAAATATTATATAAATATAAATTATATCTCCCTATCATCGTCTCTCGCGGAATAAAGAAAATCAAAACAACAGCCACGCACCAAAAATGCATTTAACATTTCTCCCTTTGCATATTCAGCATCTTGCGCTGGAAGTAACTCGCTAATTACAAATACTCGCTAATTACAAATCCGTCTCCAAGGGCGGACGGCAGATCGATTAAACCCCAGTTAACTCCACGCCGCTTTGCGAGCGTTCCCGGCGACTCGTGACGCTCCACGCTGAAAAGCGCAGGCCGGTGACTCAACGGTCGATCGTCAACCGATTCGAGAAGAAGAAATACACACGCGAGCGCTTGAATTCGAGGCGCAGCGGCATCACGATCGTAAGAAATTCCGCTGGTGGTATCCTCGTCGAAATCCGGCTTTATTACGCGAACCCGACGGAGCCCGTCGCGACCGTTCTCGACGGGAACGTTTATTTTTGTTGGGAATTCGCGGCACGGCGCGCGCGTACGTTCTCGCCCAGGCATATATTTTTGTTCCCATAGAGATACGTCGAGTGCCCCGCGACTTCCCCCTCCCCTCTCTCTCTCTCTCTCTCTCTCTCTCTCTCTCTCTCTCTCTCTCTCTCTCTCTCTCGCTCGTTCTCTTTCCTCTATCCCAGGCGAGCGGAGCGAATTTACCGTGGCGCGGATACCGTTAAAGGCAACGCCATTAGACGTACGTACGTACGTAGGTAGGTAGGTACAAGCGTAGCGCTGCGGCGGCAATATAGCCGAGAGTAAATATGGACCAAAGTAGATACCATTAAATCCAGACGCGATACAACGCCGGCGATACTCGCCGGCCCCGCCAGACAATCGTCCGTCTTAAATTGCCGCCATTAAACGCACGTACGCGCGCGTAAATCCCTCGGCCGTGTCGGCCGCAATTCGATTATTTGCCCCTGTAATTCGGCGCACCGCTGTCTTACGCCCTGCATGCGCCGCCGCCGCCGCATTGCTCCCCCCCCCCCCGCGTACCGCGTCGGCGTGTTTGTTCATTACGTTCGTAGCGCTAGTGACGTTGATCGATCCTGCTGCGCGAGATTACGCGAGCTGTTTGAGAAACGTGAGTCCGCGCGCGTTACGGGATAATCGAGCGGTGTATTTTCGTTGAGTCGAGACGTCGAAGGGAAATCCAGCCGCGGCGTGACACGGTCGCGAAAAAGCCGCGGAGATTGTGGCCGGGATTGCGACGGGGAGGGGGTGAGGGGGAGAGAAGCGTGGAAATCGGCGTGACGAGTTCGCTCCGCTCGGCGAAGTGAGGAGAGACCGGCGCGCGCGCGACGGACGCTCGGGGAATATTATGCTGTAATTTCGGCGAGTGTCGTTTGAAGCGCCTCTTGATTTTTGCCCGAGGAATTACGTGCCGGGGGCTAATTGAATGTAGCGGCTTGCTCTCTCCAGATTTCTCTCGCTGCGAAATGATCTCTAGAGATGAACGAGAATTCACTCGAAGCGACGCGGATAATTCGCCGCTATTGATTCGCCGAATGCTTCAAATGCCCTTCAATTTCGAGCGAAAATACTCGCTTCGCACTCGATCCGCAGCGAGAAATCCGCGGGACTCCGGCCGGCACTCCAGCTCGCGAGTGAAATTTCGAATAAATGTTTCGGTCGATTAGAGATTCCAATGAGACGCATCGCCGGAATGCAGAATCCAGATTCGCTCTTCGATCGTGAGTGAAAACTCTCCCAAACGGAGAGTTTGCTCGAGAAAATTTCGCGAATACTCCGTGCACATCTCTCTACGTATCGCGGGCGTAAAAACAAAAGTGATACATCGAAAATATCGCCAAGTTACACGCGCGAACCACGCCGGCGCGCTTCGCGAATATCGACACGATATACGACGTCGAGATAAAAGCCGCTCCGAGTTTAGCCGGAAAAACTCGCGTTCTCGCGCAAAAAGAGCATTAAAACTTTTTCGCGACTCGGCGTATGCCCGTGAGCTTCGTCTCGTCGTCGTAGATGGCCTTTCTCCCTTTATAAGATTGATGAACGGAGATGAGAATCGAGACAGAGATGCCCGTTAGGCGTTCGTGTTTGCCCTCCTCCGCCTTCTCTCTCTCTCTCTCTCTCTCTCTCTCTCTCTCTCTCTCTCGCTCGCTCGCTCTTTCCCTCTTTGTCTGTCTCGTAGTTAACAGCAAAGTCTTGTCCGCGATGCGAGAGTCCGCCATCAATCTCAAATGATTATCGCTTCATCAGCCGATTCGATTAAATCTTTTTCTGCCCGCTTCTCCCCGTCCGGCAGCGTTTATTCTTCTCGCCGAAATCGAAATCGAATCAAACGGTCGTATGACGCCATTCCTCACGCATTCCGCTTACTGCGGGAAAAGCGGTCTCCGCGACTCCCGATGGGATTAAAAATGATACAAATATACAGAATGGCGCTCCGCGTCGATCGATCCTTGGAATTTAGCAGGAAAGCAGTGGAAATGGCTCGGCGATTAATAATTCTTACGATATATATATATATATATATATATATCAGTGACTCCAGAGTCTTTCGCGGCGGCCGAAAGATTTCTTTCTCGCGATATGCGCTTCTTGTCCTCCTGCAATATCTGGAAGTTTTTATCCAAGATACATGTCGTCTCACTAGACGCTAGAGAGAGTCCACAATGGCTCCGCTCTTCGCCCTGCACATCGCGACGCAGCCCAACTGAACGAACGTCTTTTTATTCGCGTGTTTCAGAGAGCCAAACTGCAAGCTGAGGTCTCTGAACGTGTCCAAGTGTCTTCTAGGCGGCTTGGACGCCGGCTGCTTAGGTGAGACCATCAGGAGAGCCCGCAATTTGGACGCGCTGAGGGCCGCTGGAGCGTCCAGGCCGGCCGACGTGATGCCTCTTGTGCTGGCTTTGACGGAAGCGCCGTGTCTCCAGCTGCTGGACCTGTCTAGTCCTCGACTGGCCCTGGACGATCACCTCTCAAGGCTGCTGTGCCACGCTCTCGCCAGGAACACGACCCTCAAGCTGCTCAGTCTAGAGGGATGGACCTTCCGGATAGAGGTGAGTGAGTTTCCGGCAGATTCAATGGAGCGTTGCTCATCGTCTTGCTATTCATGAATGATCGTGAAGGTGTGGGATAGTAGATTGAAAGTACGTGTGCAGAGAGAATATCATAACTCTTTTACTTGAAGTCTCTTTGGTTTCATCATGTCTTTTTAATAATTTCCCTTAGCAGGAATGGGCTGTAATTAGAGTTTGTTTCTAACTAAGGAACATGATAAATTTTTAGTGAATGGATTATTACAACAATGAGCATTTGATGAAACAGATTTTTTATCTTTGTGTTTTAACAGTTTGAATAATTCCCAAAATATAAATAGCACATATGAAACGAAAGACAATAAAGATGAAGGCAGAAAGTTGATATGTTTCTCGGCTATAAAATTCCACAGTAGCTTTTACTATAAATTCTCTCCGTACAGAATATATATATCTTACGCGAGTCTTGTGAGACTATACCGTGGAGCGATGAGAGTCCTGTCAGCTTTAATTCTTCGGGTATCCGAAGCCCGCGGCTCTCGGATGCGAAGCTTCGTATGGGTTTCGCCAAAATAGCTCAATACACCGGTAAAGTTAACGAGAGCTGTAATCCGGCGACTTTTGCGACTTATTCGTCGCACTTAATTCACACATCGACGCCAAGTCGCGAGAAAATAACGTCGTCCGGTGGACGGCGACTCACCTCGCGCGAAAAAGTCTCGTACCTAGAGGGGCTCCACCGCGATTAAGATCCGTTCAAAAAGCGCGAATTCCCCATCAATGCGACCGTCCGCTCCACCCCGTTTTCCTCGCGGAGAAAAATTCCAGTTCCCCGAGAGCCGATATCGCAGCTGCTCTGCCGAGGACAAGCATCGCGTACATAAAGCAGGCGACCGGACATTCAGCTTCCTCGTAATGTCATTTATTTTCGCGCGAGCGAAATAACGGAGCAATGCGCGAGGACAGCATCGCGGGGACGAAGAGGGGAGAGGAAAGATGAAAGAGGACGGGAGGACGGGAGAAAGGGAAAGAGAAGTGGAGCCAAAGATACGAAGGAAGAGCGTACGCTCGCGGGATGGGAATAAGGAGAAAAGAACCAGAAGAAGCGGGAATTATTTCGCTCTTCCGTGCGAGCGTGCAGTTCCGAAAAGTGCGCCGCGGTAATTCCTCGCACTCGCGGCGGAGCTTAACAATAGCGCGAGACCGCATGTAGCTAGAGAACTGAATCCTCAACTAACGGCGTGATAACAATGCCTGAAAAGTTCGCGTTCGTGCCATTGGCGACCACTCTTGTGACCCTCGTAACCCCCCTCGCGAGACAGGTCGCGCAACAAACGCGCGATTCTGCCGCACAGAAAGTTAATCCCGCAGGGGAGGAATATGTCGTGTAACGCGCTTCATTTTCGTCGACGTCTCATCGATAGGCTGGTTGGCTGGCCGATCGGCCAGCCAGCTCGCAGGTCATGGAACCGCATTCCCGTTTCATTATACACTGCCTGGCTACACGTTCGACTGGCTCTACGAATCTACGAAATCGACCACCCTCGACGGCCAACGGCCAAGTGTCGATTAAAATTAATATCGGCACGACGCTAATTAATTAACATCAATTAGCCCGTCGGCACGTCCGTGCGTCGTGCTCGTCGTCGCGCGACGCGAAACTGCGCGATATTTAAATGAACGCATGTCGCGCGTGGCCCATCAATACTCCTCGACGCTACTATCGAGCGCTGTCCCCCCGGCCCTGCGATGATGTATAACGTCGCTCGCGATACATGATCGAGAGGCTTATTGCAATTTCCAACGTTATCGAGTCCTGCCAGTCCCCCGTTTTCTCATGTTCCTCCTAAACACGAGTGGATTCCGACCGGAATGCCTAAATTTCTTTTCAAACTGATTATCCAGCTTTCCACAATACTTCGAGTTTGATTCTTATCCTAAACATGAATGATGATGATGAAAATCTCGTTTTTATATCAGCTGATAAACTCAATAGAATAGAAGATAAAAATAAAATATAAAAAATATTTAAAACGCTATATCTGCATTCTTGCTTGAAAAGTGTAAGTACTACCTCAAAGTGTTTCGTTCTGTTCGATCCGACTGTAAAATGAAAACTTGAGAAATCTTTGGAAAACCTTAAGAAGAGTGCAAAGGTGTTTCCATATTGTTGCCATTTTGAGATTCCGAATCACAAACAATCTGTGTTTAGGATAAAAATCGGATTAATCCGATATAAATTACTTAAATTTCACAGTCAGCAGAATCTACCAATTTCTCAGCGAACCAATATGGATCTCTCAATTAGATATTTTCCCGGGATATTTTCCGCATGATTCGATCGCACATCAAACGAACGTGGGAGTGCTCGAACCTCCATAAAAAATAAAAAAATCAAGTCTTTCTCCTTTATAGTGCTACGACTGTAAGTATTTCCGTGTCACGCGCGGAATCTATAAAGCGATGGAGCGCGGATGGCTTCGCTCGCATCGCAGGAGGAAGAGTAGGAGGAAAATGCAATATCGTCTCGATACAAAGCTCTCCAGTTAGACTCGCGAGTCAATATTGTTTCCATTTCGTTAAGCTTTGAGACGTCGGAAAGAGCGTCGGACTGTTGAGAGGTCGGGAGCAGGAGGAGGGAGGGAAGAAGTCGGCACCGCGTGCTATGCGTTCGGAGTCTGCGAGGTTGCACCCTCGGGATGCGTTCGCGAGCTTTCGAAGAAGAGAAAGTTATCGAACGTTTCGAGAGATCGACGAAAGGCAGCGACGGAGAAGGCGGTCTTTGGTCTGCCAACAGTAACTTCGTAGCCCGTAAAAGGAGTCGATCGGAACTTCGCGGTTTTCCATCGAGTGTCCGTACCCGCTACATCCGACCTGTCTACTGCGTCTGTTCGCCTGGCCGCCCGCCCGGCCGGGAAATTGCCGGATAAAACATTCTTGTAACTTTTAACCGCGCGATCTAACTTTTTTAATCACTGACATGACGTCGAAACGACGTAGCGTATCACGATCGCGGGACGATCGCGAGCGGGGAATGCTCGTTACGGTTGGACATCTTGTTGCGGGATATTCGGATTTTGCAAAACGACTCGTGTAATTACAAGCGATGAATATTAATGGAAGACGATTTGCTTTACGAACCATTCCGGGCGATGTCAAAGCGAGGAAAGCGTCGAGAAATTCGAAATGACGACTTTAGAAAATTGTAAACGTTGAGATAAGTTTTACGACTCACACAGATGTGTCATTTTGTGTCAATCTCAGAATTCCAGAACGTAATGTAATTAAAAAGAGAGGACGTAGAACGAATGAATAAATATTCCCCCGTCTCCCGATAAAGGAACCCGTCATCTGCATAATTTGCAGAGCAAGTCATCTACCTTTCGCGAACGGATTAAACGCACTATTTGTTAACAATGTTTCGCCGGCGCGTACACTGCAAACCCTAGTGTGTTATTTTGACACGTATAAGCTGAAGTTTTCTTCACGCGTTTCTTGTCGTCTGAAATCACGTCATTTGATGCATTTCGATATCACTTAATGCATTTAAACGCGTTAAACGACGTGATTTAAAACGACAAGATACACGTAAAGAAAGCTTCAGCTTATACGCGTCAAAATAACACACTCGGGTTTGCAGTCGGGTATTCGTCGCTATTTATTTAGCCGGCAAATGTAGCTTGTGCGCTCCCGGCCGTGAGCTTCCGGTCGCAATTAAAGACTTTCAAAGTATGCTAACGAGCGCGACCGTTTCCGCCGTGGCGCAACAGCCCTGTGCGTTTAATCGCGACATTTAATCGTATTCATAACGACCTCTGAAACCTCGCTCTCTCCAGTCTCCGCTTCGGACTACCGAGCGACGAATATTGGTTTTGTGTTGCTCTCTCAATCTCAATTTAAGACGCGTTACGTTTACACACACCGGGCGAAACATAAAACGACTTCCCTTCGTTCATTGTACCGAGATAACGCGTGTTGAAATTTCGTCCCTGCTTTAACTCCGCAATTTCACCCTACTTGAACGAAAACAGATTGAGATACGACACGACACATATCATCTCCCTTCTATATAATTCTGTGCAACAAATTGAAATTTTAAATCGCACTTTAACACACGCGTTGGGAATGTAAAACTAACGCTTCGCGAGCCCAATCTAAGAATATCCATTGATATTTAATACAGACTAATTTCCACCTCAACTCAGACACAAAAATCAAAGTCTTTCTCATTCACACAATTATGCTGACCGATCTTTATTACCCAGATGGATGATTTCACGTCCACCGGGAGCGCGCTGATTTCCCCTTTACAACGGTCTTTGTCGCAAGTCGCTACGACATCTGAGGACGAAGTTGTCGACGTTCGCATCGATCCGGCGCTCTCGATCGGCCCGTCTCGGCCCGGCCGCGGCCGACCCAGCGCGGCGCTGCCTCGCCGTGGGGTAGGTCACGCACACGGTCACGCGACACGTGGTGGGAAACAATAGCATTCCGGGCAACCGCCGACGCGCGTCGTACGTGACGGCACGCAGCCCTCGCGCGGCCTTGCCCCCACTCCGCGGTGCGAGGGAGCACGTGCTCGGCCGAGTCGCTGCCAGACGACAAGCCGCAGCGCGCAGGCGCGAGAACAAGTGCCAGCGCTCGTCGTAGCACCTCGCCTCGGCACTCGCGGCACTCGATTATTAAATGGCTGTCCTCGCTCTAACGCGGCGAATAAGAAGCAGTTTATCGACATACGCGTCTTACGCCGTTATTTTGCTGACGATTTGGAAGATTCGAGCGTCGTGACCGACGAAACACGGAAAACATTATCGATCAATGTTTCGTTACATCGAAAAATCCGCCATACCTACGTAGAATAATCCACGAGATCGCGAAGGCGATCTCGTTATTTATTTGATGACGACTCACATTGTAGGATCTATAAAAGATCTCTCACTTGCCACAGGATGAGAGTAAATTGTAATTTAGTATTTGCAAGACATTTTTTTCGCAGTTTCCGTCTTGATGACGGCGGGCGC